CTCTTGCCATAAAGTGATTCCAATATCTATTGGACAATCTTTCCAGTACTCAGACCTCTCAATTTTTTGACCTCCTTACCTCCAATGATTTTTTTCCTTCATCTGCCAGTTCCCATGGTTACATCACAGACCTGCCCATCATCACTAACTGGCACTTTTCCAAGGTTTCCATTTCAAGCATCCCATTCTCTAATCACCGATTCCCATATTTCCCACTTACTTTCTCTAAGATGCTCTCCAACAATTCTTTTTTTTTTTTTTTGAGATGGAGTTTCGCTCTTGTTACCCAGGCTGGAGTGCAATGGCGCGATCTCGGCTCACCGCAACCTCCGCCTCCTGGGTTCAGGCAATTCTCCTGCCTCAGCCTCCTGAGTAGCTGGGATTACAGGCACGTGCCACCATGCCCAGCTAATTTTTTGTATTTTTAGTAGAGATGGGGTTTCACCATATTGACCAGGATGGTCTCGATCTCTTGACCTCATCATCCACCTGCCTCGGCCTCCCAAAGTGCTGGGATTACAGGTGTGAGCCACCGCGCCCGGCTCCTTGTAAATACTCTTAACTCCCTTGCTGCTGTATCCATCACATTTGTCTGGTAATACCCAAATCCAAGTTAGATGCAACTCTCTGTCTACTCAAGCGACTGAACATGATTGATCCTGTTTGTGGTCACCCCCTCCCCCGTGCCCCACTCGAGGGGTTTATGCTGTCTGCCTCTGGAACTTTGGGTTTCAGTGAACAGGAGAGTGAGTGCTTCTTTAAATGTTGTACCCTAGGTGCCTCTGTTGCCCTCGTGGATGCCTTGGTATACATCCAGGTCCGCTCCAGAGTTGTCCGGAATCCAGGCCAGGAGCACTAACATTCGTTTATCCGCCAATCACTGGCTGTGGGTGGCCCAGGGAGCAGGTATGACTTTGAGGCAGGCAGCTTTCATGAGCCAAGGGCAGGCCTGCAAGAGATTCAACTGGAGCTGTCAGCCGCCAACACTCCCCGCTGCTGGGGACATGATGCACAGGCTGTTCTAACCAAGCTACTCCCCTCCTCAGGGCTTTTGCACTTCCTCTTCCTTCTGCCTGGATGTTCTTTTCCTAGCTTTCCAAAGGATTCACTCCTTCACTTCCCTTAGGCCTATGCTCAAGCGTCCGGTAGCCCGAGAGGTCTTCCCTAACAGCTGTATATAAGCTAGAACTCTATCCTTCAATATTCTGTCCTATCACTCCGCTTTTTCTTCAGAACATTTAGCAACACTTGACATATGTAATTACGCTAGCTGCTTCGTTTGACCTCCTTTGCTCAAGTGCATGCTCCAAGAGGACAGGGTTCTGGTTTGCTTGTATCTCCCGTGTCCCAGATAGTTCTTGGTCTTCATTAGGTACCAATACGTGAACATATATTTGTTGGGTAACAAATTGAAATGTCTTAAATTCATAGTAGTCAGCTCATAAGGCAGAGTGGTTTAGTGGAAGGAGCTTAAGGTTTTGGAGTTAGACTGACTTTTGAAAACAGCTTTGTTTAGATAGAAGTAGCATGTAATAAATTGCATGTATTTAAGGCATAAACTCAAGACATGTTTACATAGATATACACTCACAAAGCCATCACCATGATTCACATCATGAATGTATTTTGAATCCCCAGGAGTTTCCTCTTGCACTTCTGTAATCGCTCCTTCCTGCTATTCCCCATCCCCAGGTAAGTATGGATTTGCTTTCTGTTTTTTTTTTTTTGAGACGGAGTTTCGCTCTTGTTACCCAGGCTGGAGTGCAATGGCGCGATCTCGGCTCACCGCAACCTCCGCCTCCTGGGTTCAAGCAATTCTCCTGCCTCAGCCTCCTGAGTAGCTGGGATTACAGGCACACGCCACCATGCCCAGCTAATTTTTTGTATTTTTAGTAGAGACGGGGTTTCACCATGTTGACCAGGATGGTCTCGATCTCTCGACCTCGTGATCCACCCGCCTCGGCCTCCCAAAGTGCTGGGATTACAGGCTTGAGCCACCGCGCCCGGCCTGCTTTCTGTTTTTAAGAGTAGTTTGCATTTTCTAGAATTTTATATAATTGAGTCAAACCATCTGTATTCCTTTTTTTGTCTGATATTTTTTGAGATTCATCCATGTTTTTCTGTGTTCCTTTTTTTGCTGAGAAAGATTTCATTTGTTTATTACTTACTTTGGCTGACAGACATTTGGTTTGCTTGCAGTTTGGGGATTATTAAAAATAATGCTACTGTGAATATTCTGTATGTTTTGCATGGACATTGCTTTCATTTCTTTTGAATCAATACCTAGGAGTGAAATGGTTAGGTCATTTAACAGGTATGTGTTTAACTTCTTAAGAAACAGCCAAATTATTTTCCAAAGTGATTGCACCATTTTTCATTCTTACCAGGTATGAGATTTCTGGTTGTTCCACATCCTTGCCAACGCTTAGTATATGCAGTCTTTCTAATTTTATTGTTTATTTATTTTATTTACTGCCTTACTTTTTTTTTGAGACAGATTCTCACTGTATTGCCCAGCCTGGAGTGCAGTGGTGCAATCATGGCTCACTGCAGCATTGATCTCCTGAGTTCAAGTGATCCTCCGCACTCAGCCTCCCAAGTAGCTGGGACTACAGGTGTGTCTCACTACATCCGGCTAATTTTTTGTACAGGCGGAGTCCCACAGTGTTGCTGAGGCCCTTCTCAAAACTCCTGGCCTCAAGTGATCCTCTCGCTTTGGCCTCTCAAAGTGCTGGGATTACAGGCATAGTTCTATGACTAGCTTCTAATTTTAGACATCTAATAAGTATGTAGTGGTATCTCACTGGTTTTAATTTGCATTCTGTGGGCTGGGTGCAATGGCTCATGCCTGTAATCCCAGCACTTTGGAAGGCCAAGGTAGGCAGATGGCTTAAGCCCAGGAGTTTGAGACCAGCCCCGGGCAACATGCTGAAACTCCATCTCTACAAAGAATACAAAAATTGGCCAGGTGTAGTGGTACACACCTGTGGTCCCAGCTACTCAAAAGGTTGAAGTGCAAGGATCATTAGAGCCTGGGAGGTCAAGGCTGCAATGAGCTGTGATTGTGCCACTATACTCCAGGTTGGGTGATAGAGTGAGACCCTGTCTCAAAAAATATATATATTTCTTGCATTCTGCTAATGACAGTGATGTTGAGGATTTTTTCCTTTATTTTCCACGAAGTATGTCTTCTTTTTTGAAGTGTTTGTTCATATCTTTTGCCCATTTTTTTCCTTTATTTTCCACGAGTGCCTTTATTTTCCAGGAGTATGTCTTCTTTTGTGAAGTGTTTGTTCATAGCTTTTTGTCCATTTTATATTGAGTTGTTTTCTTATTACTGGGTTTTGAGAATACACACACACACACACACACACACACACACACACACACAATACAAGTCCTTTATAAGACACATGATTTGCAATTATTTTCCCCCAGTCTGTGGCTTATCTTTTCATTCCCTTAATAGTGCAGAAATTCTTCATTTTAATGAAGTCCAATTTATCAAATTTTAAAAATGGATTATACTTTCAGTATTGTATATAAGAAATCATCATCTAACTCAACATCACAAAAATTTTCTTTTATGTATTTTTTCTGGATGTTTTATAATTTCAGGTGCTACATTTAGATCTATGATCTATTTTGAGTTCTTTTTTTAATATGGTGTGAGATATGGATCACAGTTTATGTTTTCTGCATATGGTTATCCAGTTGTTCCAGCACCATCTGTTGAAAAGGCTATTCTTTCTCCTTTGGGTAGCCTTGTATCTTTGTTGAAAATCAATTATCTATATACGTATGAGTTTATTTTTGGACTCTCTGTCCCATTGATCTATTTATCTATCTTCATGCCGATACCATCTGGTCTCTATTTTATTTTAGCTTTATAATATATCTTAAAGTCAGGGAGGGTAAATCCAATTCCTTTTCATTTTTTGCAATCCCATCGTGGTTGAAAGTAGAGGTCAGACTGATGCATTTTAATTCAAGTTTGATCATTTGATTCTTGTGTGATTTCAGACAAGCCAGTTAATTATGATTATTACTCATTTATGTACCTGTTCATTGTTAGAATAATATATTGTAATTCTTAGAGTAAATGCTAATTATTATTAAGAGCCTGAACTAGGAAGATAGCTCTGGAAATAAAAGGAACTAGCCAGGCACAGTGGTGCATGCCTGTAGTTCCAGCTACTCAGAAGGCAGAGGTAGGAGGATTGCTTGAGCCCAGGAATTGGAGGCTGCTTGGCAAAAAAGCAAGGCCCTGTCTCTCTAAAAAAAAAAAAAGAAAGAAAAGAAAAGAAAAAAGGAAAAATTTACTGAGATAGTGAGAGGTCCCTAGTGAGTATGTTACATTTACCCACACCCTGTACCACCTGCAGTTCCAGTACAGGTGCAGTACTGGAACTGCAGGTGGTACAGGGTGTGGGTAAATGTAACATACTCACTAGGGACCTCTCACTATCTCCGTGCAGGGACATGCTCCTGCCCTTTCATCTTCCGTGTTGAAGTTCTGCAGCAAATTCTTCCTGGAAGCAGGGCTGATCACTTACTTTGAACCAAAAGTTAACAACAATAAATAAAGGTGAAAAAGAAAAACAAAATTGGTCAGGATCCCCGAGTTTAAAATAATTATTCTACCATATCAACAATTTTCTGTACAGCTCTCTAGAATTTTTATTTAGACAAATTGTTTTAAAAAGAAAGACCTTCTACATATTACTTTGAAACCAAGGTTACAGTAGCTTTTTGGCCCGGTTGGCGTGGCTTTCTCCAACTCTCCTCTTCTTTTCAGTCTTTGAAATACCTGTCCCTGCCAGTCTCGAAGTGCCCCTGGTTACAGGTCAGCCCCACACTGAAGGGGAGGAGCTACTTCCTAGGGTCTCTCCCCAGCATCACAGCCCCACATCCCAGCGACCAAGGGTGTTATATGCCTGGGGGCCAAAGAGGACCCTGATTGCTTTGTTTTGTGCCATGTGAATATTATGTTCAACAGGATGGCTGGTGGACGGGAGACATGTTTGACTTTGATTGGATTCATTCTTACCTGTCTTAAAATGGTGAGTTCATCATTCCAACTACCTGCAATTATTTAGGGGAAAAAGGAAAGACACATTTTTTTTTCTCTCCTTTTTTTGAGGAGTTGGGAAATGGGGAGATAGAAATCGAAATAGTTTTGGTTCGTACCCAGGTTGTATATGTTTGCGTGTTTGAAATTTAATGCCATATAACAGAGAAAGCAAACAAGATTATCATTATATTTTAAGAACAAAGATTTTTGAAAAATCTGTCAGCAGCTACTGACTTGGTTCAATAGGCAGATTCAAAGGGAAAAAAATGAAATAGTAATGGGATCTGCCTCCAGCCTCTAAATTCTATTTAGAGTTGCTTTGTGGTAGATTTGGGTGCTGGGAAATGATTTGTGCAGATAAACACTTGTGTGGATAGAAAAACTGCTCACATTAGGCATAAACATGTGATTAATTTATTACCGCTTTTATTCATGCTTTACATTTGCTCAAGTGGTATTTTTCTGTATGGTTCTAATTTTCTAAACTTTCTTTTTCAGGTTGCTTCATTAAAATCAGGTACAATTTTCTGACATGCAAGTTTCTCTTCCTCATATTTGATTTTAATTTCCTTTGTTAATTCACGGGCTACCTGAAATGTAAAAGATAGATGAGGAAAAAAAAAATCAACATTTTCTGAGCACTCACTGTGTGCTAAGCACTATATTGGGTCCTGGGGAGATGTTAATTGGTAAGACAAATAAATGGATTGAACTTGAAAGATAAATCTTTATAAAGTGTTCTTACTGAGTACTGTAATGTACGGAGTCATGTAGGCATGGATTTTCTCATATACAGTTAGCCATGTGTGAAATATTACAATGATTATCATTTCATTAAGATATTTAGCAGAGTCTAATTTATATAAATGTTCTTGTTTATCTTCTGGGGAATTAAAGGGAGAAATTAGAAATGTTAGATTTGATTAAATAGTCAATATTCCCTACTTTAAAAAGGGCTTTATACTTCTAATATTGCATATTTAAAATATAGACAATAGTCACTCAGAGCTGAAAGGGGACCCTCTTTTAAAAATATTTGATCTCCATCTTTCTTGAGTAGATAACTGAAGGCAAAAGTAATTTCTCTAGAGGCCCCTCCCAGCTCACTTGTGGTATAAATCTAAGTATCTGCAAAGGAAATTTATTTTTAGGAGGATTTAGTTTATCTGTAGGAATCACATAATATCAACCATGTCACCAATAAATTCTCATAGTGATTCAACATAAATTGGAACAATTTTTATTTATTATTTTGTCTACACCACAGAAAAGGAAGTGAAATTAAGACAATTTAAAAATTTGACATAGATACATGTCTGAGCCATGAAATTTCATAAAATTCATGCATATATAGTAAGTTTTTAAAAATTACTATTTCCTGGCCAGGTATCAAGGCTCACGCCTGATTATAGCCAAGATGGGAGGATCACTTGAGGTTAGAATTTCAAGACCAGCCTAGGCAACATAGCAAGACCCCATCTCTTTAAAGAATTAGTATTTCTTGCTTTATTCTTATTTACTTGTCTTATTCTTGAGAGATCTTTAGGATTAGCCAGGAAACTATAGGAAGGACTGCCTGGCTGTATACAAAGTGGCTTTTTAAATAAGTGGCCTTTGGGTGAACAAAATCTACCTCTGTTGTTTCTTACATGATTCCAGCATACCCAGGACACACCAAGCCCTCAGAACAGACCTCTTTTTGGTCCTCATAGCATCTACACTATTCTAGAGAAGTGGTGGGTCAGGCTAAGATACTGATGCTGCTGCTAACTGAGTTGTCCTGGCTTTCCAAGAGGTGGGATGTGCACACTGTATAGGAGGTTTCACTTTGGTTGCGTGTATTTTGATTCTCTTTGGCCTCTGGTGTTGCTGTGTATCTGTGTCTGGTCACTGGGGCCTTGTCGGCTCATTTAGATCTCTTCGAGCTGATAGAATGCACAGATGCCCAGATGCTGAGAATCAAAGGGTTTCATTTTTGACTGATCAGAGTTATTGGTTGCACATCTAGGGAATAAATTTTTCTCTTTCATGAGTCCAGTCAGTGGGCTAAACATAGAATTAAGAAAGAGTAAGGAAATGCTTCTACCTTATGGAGCCTTACACTCAAACTTCTCATCTCTTAAAGGGCAACATACTACAAAAGTGTTGATCTTCTTTCACTGTTGATGCTGGTCAGAGCCTGCCCTAAAACCAGATGTAAAACAGACAATCTGTCTCTCCAGCTTGTGTTTGTCCCACACTCCTCAGAATCCCACTTTCACAGGACCCCTCCATTGCAGTACATATGGTCTGGCTTTTCCAAACCTATCAAAATTTACTTATCTTGGCTCATACACAAACATGTGCGTGCACACACACACACACACACACACACACATACACTTACATATTTTCCAAGTGCCCTAACATACACTATTTCACTTAATCTTTACAACATTCCTAAAATGCAGATATTTTACATTTCAAAGTAAATCCTAACATGTAGGTATTTATTATCTGTATTTGCCAAGGAAGGTAGCAAGTCTAGAAGAGGTACAATGACTTGCAGGCCTTCACACACAAAAGTAATAGCAGGGCCAGGGTTCAAACCCAGAGTTCTTGAATCCAAATCCTTTGCTATTTTCCCACTACGCAACCCTGAGTTTCATTCTGCTGTATTGGCTTCCTGCATGATGACTTCCAAGCAAATGTGCCTCTCCTAGATCAATTCCACGAGGCCAGTTTTGTGGAGCCTGCAGGCCACATGACAGACATGTGGGGAAAGTCTGTGTCGTGCTAATACCTTTTAGATGCCTTTCAAACCACTCGGTGAATGCATGATCAACCTCTTGTGTCTGTGGCTAGTTTGATTGTCATTTTCCCAGGAAGTTAGTTTATTCCAGTGAACAGGACGGGTAACATAGGAGATAAGATTAAATGTGGAGACAGAGAAAACAGAAGGAGTTGAGAGACACTGGAAAATTAGAGGAAAGAAGGCATATAGCACAGGATAATTACCTGGGGGAGCAGAAGAGGGGTGTGTGTGTGTGTGTGTGCCTGTGTTAAAAGAGAGAGTGCCTGTTGGGCACTCCTTTCCGTTCCTCAGAGGAGAGAGGGAGCATAGCCCTTTCCTACAGAATTTGCTTCCACTGGCAAGTGGCTATGATGAGCAGGCCTGCGACTTTCCCTCGGTGTATATAACTGCCGTAATTTTCTTTCAATGACAAAAGAGACAATCCTGGGTGATGTTCAAGGAATGTCTGGCCAGGGCACAGAGGAGACTTTGTTCATTTTTGCAGCATGGTTATTTCTGAGATGCTGCCAAAGCTAACTCTCTGGGCTATTGGTACAAAAGAGAAGGTTGTCTGTATCACGCACATGGGGAATTGGCTCTGGGAGAAGGGGAGCTGATACTGGAGAATCACCTGTCTGTCTTTACTCCTTCTCCCTCTTTGTCCTATAGTTCTGCTTGTTTGTCTTCCTTTTAGTTTTGAATTTGGCATATAGTGATTTTACCCAGCAAGTGGAGTCCATTAAACCTGAAAGGCCAAATGCCAGTTTCAAATAAAACCCAGCTATTTTTGTTTGACCTTTTCTTCCATTTGGATCTCCTATATCCAAGACATTTTTGCCTCTATGAAACTTTGTAAAGTAGTCTATCTGATTACGGTGCTGTATCTCCTGCTCCACAATCCCAAGTGTAGGAATGCCTTGTGTCCCTGGCAAACCATAGCCTGGGCTGTCGCATTCTTGTGCTGAGGCAGATATTTTGATAGAGAAATGGGGAATAAAGTTTACTTTTATTTTATGTGAGAGAATCTGAGAATTCTTCCACTCTGACAATATAACATGAACGGAAGTGCTATCAAGTAATTATAACAAAGAACTCAATCCTCCTTCCTCCATTGTATTAAATGTTATCTGGAAAACGTGCAAAGTACATGAGAGAGTGACCACAGCCACGAGGCAGAGGTGGGGGAATGGAGATGGGTCCAACTGGAGACTGTGGGACGATTGTGGGACCCAGAGGGGAGATCAATGGCAAAGCAGCCTGCAAAATTCACAGAATGCCCAACTAGAGTAGAATCCTCTGGAAGAAAGCCTCTCAATTATTCTCTCTCTCTTCCCAGAGTTCTTTCCTACGTCAATACTTCCCATTCTTACTTAGCTGTTTTAAAGGTACAAAAAGTGCAAATTTCTCCATAGGCAACGGGGGAAAACTTTGAAATCCCATCCCTGAATGAGAGGGTTGAGCTTTCTAGATCTCTTCTGGAAAGTAGTTTTGTCTTTGTTTTTCTCTGTTTTTCCTTGATCTGGATAATAAGGGCAAAGCTTATGTCTGAAGGAAGGCATGAGAATGATTTATCTTGAAGAGTAAAATGATGAAAGAAGTCACCCTTGTAGGCATCTTGGCTAATGTATAACTCTAAAACCTCTTTCAGCTCCGGAAATACCCACTATTGATCAGGCATATTCAAAAATCAGCAACAGTATCACTGTAGAATGGGCTACAGTGCCGGGTGCCACCAGTTACCTCCTCAGAGCTGAAGATGGGGACACAGTCATTGAAACCATGGTGGCCAATTCCCCAGGCACTGTGACGGGACTAAAGGCTGCAACCTTGTATGAAATCACCATCAGATCCATCAGCGCTGCTGGGAGAAGCCAGGCATCACCTCCAAAGCAGGCAAAGACAGGTGGCTGGATGGATGCTCATCCTCTGTTGAGTGTTTGCTTGTGACTTGGATCAGTTATTCTGGTGCTCCAAATGCAGAATGTGATTTGGTGTCACATGAGTGCCTACAATTCAGGGCCCAGAAGTGAAAGCTACCAAATGATGCTTTTTGAGAATTCAGCTATCTGTGGAGGAGGTGGCATTTAAATGCCAGATGCTTTGCTTTGGAAAATAAAGCCCATTTCTGGGCATCTTTGAAAGCATCCCAGCTTTTAAATCTCTGAAATAGGGATTTCTGGTGTTAACATGCCAAATGAAGAACACGTAGAAGGGATTTTGCTGCACTCTGACCATATGGCATATAGGTTAACAAAACAAATAAGAGCATTTATGGTTTGTCAGCAGCATTACTGAAATTGATTTGATAAAGTTGTACCTAAGCATATTTCTGACAAGTTATGTGTACGTTAAAATAGTGTGACCCGTCATTTCCCCATTGATTTATATTATGATTATAGGACTGTTTTATCTAATTTCTGACCAACTTCAAGTTAAAAGATATTTAGAGTTTCTCTGTTTCCCATTCCTCTGCCAAGTCATTTATATAATTGCTACACTTAAATAGCAATTATTTAATGAAACTCTGTTGTGAATCCTCTTATAAAGCAAATAACTATTGTATAATATGGATAGCCAACTGCAATTCACTTACTTCTAAATTTGAATTCTCCTCTATTGGACATTGGTAACACAAATGCATGTGTTTGTGTTTTTGTTTTTGTTTTTAGTGTTGGCTGCACCAATTCTAGAAGTAAGCTCTCCAAGTTCAGACTCCATTCTTGTGCAGTGGGAAGCTGTATACATGGCAATTGGATTCTCTGTGTCTATTATGCGAGCCAATGGCTTGGGGAGTATATGGAAAGAGAATACTACAAACACCTCCTTGACATTCACCAGTTTAGAAGCCGGGACTCTTTACACCATAAAGGCCTATGCATGGAATGCCAACGGAATCCCTGGGGACGACTCCACCTGCAATCAGAGAACAAGTAAGAACTCAGCCCATCCTCAGTCTTACTTTTGATTAATGAGGGGGGCTGTGCTTTGCAGCCATCAAGAGCAGTGTTACATGACAAGTGCAGAGCAGCTGGCAGCAGCTATTTAAATTTATTATGAAGTTATTTATAGTGCCTTGTCTATTTCTCCTTGGTAGTTTAAATGCTTCCTGCATGGATAAAGAAATGCTACTCAGAATGCACACAGCATGGCACCACCCTCGAATATCCAACTCAATTTCAGCATTCACATTTGACATCGCACAGAAGAAGATAATTCTTTTTAGGTTTGCCCATCACCCCTTGTCCCTTTCTGGGTTCAGGCCAATATAAGTAAGTATAAGAACTGGGCCAAATAGGAATTCATTTATTCAGCAGATATCGAGTGAGTGTGTGCCAACTTTGAGCTGGGATTGTTCTGCAGATACAGCAGCAAGCACAGCAAGGTTTCTGCAGGCACAGTGCTTGATGCTGCAGCGAATTCGTGTTATTCAGATCTGTTTCCCAAAGGTCTTAGCTTGGGTCTGAAGCCAGCACAGGGCTTCCCACTACTGCTCCTCCCGCTGTGGGGAATAGCTGGAGCTTGGTGTGCATTCTCTCACCGTCCCACCCAGGGGTCCCCCAAGCAGAGGACCCTGCAGCATTACAACTGGAGGTCCAAATCGAGCTGCTGGAGTGAGCCAAGAGAATGAGAGAGAGTGAGAGAGAGAGAGAGAGAGAGAGAGAGGTGTTTTTTTCTTTTCTTGAGGCAGAGTAAGCCATCCACTGGCAATGTAACCTTAATAGATAGGAGACTCTCACCAACCAGATTGGGGAGGACTCAGGAAGGGATGGAAAGAAGCCAGAAATGTTCTCTCCAATGTTCGCTACGTTTGGAGAGGTATGGAAGTCCCATAGTCTATAGGTAGGGAGAAGAAAGGGGTTTGCCTATTATACTATTTCCCTAGGGAGGTAGTATAATCATAGCCCTGAGGTGATTCATGACAGGCTTGGTGAGTCAGGATGTCTGCGACAGGTCAGTCTCCCTTGACCTTTTCCTAAGCTGGCTTGCTCTCTTTCTTCCCTTATCTTCCCTTCCCATTCTTCCCTTTCCTTTCCCTTTCACACTGCTTTTTTCTTTCCACATTTCTTTAGGGCCCACTGTGTGCTGGGCATAGGTTAGCTGATGGGAATACAAAAGCAAATACAGCATGATCCCTCCATTCAAAGAACGAATTATGTCAAAGGAGAGACCAGCAGTGAGTCAGCGTTTCCAGTTCCACCTGACCAGTGCTTTGCCGGAAGGCTGCAGACACAGCAAGGCACAGGAGGGAGCATCTTCATCAGGCTAGGGGACTGAGAGAGCATCCCACGTAATAACTTGTTTCGGAAAGACTTCACCTTCATAGGTTTCTCCATGTTCTACAAAGCTTTACAGAGTGTAGATTTCACCTCTGGATTAGTTTCCTAGGGCTGCTGGAACCACACACTGGCTGGCTTGAGCAATAGAAATGTTTGGTTTTATGGTTCTGGAGGCCATGAGGTCTGAAATCAAGGTGTTGGCTAGGTTGGTTCCTTCTGGGGAATGTAAGGAAGAATCTGTTCCAGGCCTCTCCCCTTGGCTTGTAGATGGCTATCTTCACATTCACATGGAATTTCCCCTATACGTGTTTATCTGTGTCCAAATTTCTTCTTTTTATAAGGAAATCAGCCATATTGGATTAGGTCCCACACTAATGACCTCATCTTAACTGATTACATCTGCTATGACCCTATTTCCAAACAAGGCTACATTCTGAGGGTACTGGAGGGAAGAACTTCAACATATGACTTTGGAGGGAACCCAAGTCAACCCCTAAAAGCCTGTTTGTCCTAGTTCTCCCATGCCCACTGTGGGAAAAGCAAGTTGCCCTAAAACACTGCACGTTATCGCTACCAGCCTTGGGCTCAGCACTTCCCTAAAGCAATCCTGCCTTTGCAGACAAGCTGACCATGGAGCGGGAAGGGGCACGTCAAGCTGGCCCACAGGAAGCACATGGCAGGTTCCTGGCTTACAGAGAATGAGTTAGGTCTTCATGTCCTCAAATAGGCCTTCCCTGTTTATCCAGATGTGTCCAGAGGATGCTGGTCTCTGCTCACAGACTGTCTGAGCAGTTTCCTAAGGGCTGCTGGGTGGGCGTTATTACAGCACAGATTCCAAGGAACCGAGACCAATTTCTCCTCTCCTCAGGCCAGGACACCTCCTTATGCTTTTTTTTTTTTTTTTTTTTTTTTTTTTTTGAGACGGAGTTTCACTCTTGTTACCCAGGCTGGAGTGCAATGGCACGAGCTCGGCTCACCGCAGCCTCCACCTCCTGGGTTCAGGCAATTCTCCTGCCTCAGCCTCCTGAGTAGCTGGGATTACAGGCATGCGCCACCATGCCCAGCTAATTTTTTGTATTTTTAGTAGAGACGGGGTTTCACCATGTTGACCAGGTTGGTCTCGATCTCTCGACCTTGTGATCCACCCGCCTCAGCCTCCCAAAGTGCTGGGATTACAGGCTTGAGCCACCACGCCCGGCCCCTCCTTATGCTTTTTAAATGTGGTAGCTGTTAAGAAAGGAAGCCATATTTTCAAGAATATGGGGTTAAGTGTTTAGGAGACACTAAAAGACTGCCTTAATATGTGAGTGTCACACTTGATACCTTCCTTCTTTCCTTTGGATGATGGATGGAAAATATTTGACATATCAGTAATAACATGCCCACGTGGCCCGTTTAGTCCTTCCCATTTATAATTTTATTTAATTATTTTTTTCTTTCTTTTTTTTTAACATCTCCTGGTAGCTGGTATGTAGCTGTTATATGGTGAGGCTTTTTTTGTTTTGTTTACTGATTGATTGATTGATTGATTTAGAGACGGAGTTTCGCTGTGTCACCCAGGCTGGAGTGCAGTGGCACGATCTAAGCCCACTGCAACCTTTGCTCCTGGGTTCAAGCAATTCTCCTGCCTCAGCCTCCCAAGTAACTGGGATTACAGGTGCACACCACCACGCCCAACTAATTTTTGTATTTTTAGTAGAGACAGGGTTTCACCATATTGGCCAGGCTGGTCTCCAACTCCTGACTTGTGATCCACCCGCCTCAGCCTCCCAAAGAGCTGGGATTGTGGGCATGAGCCACCTCACCCAGCCTCATGTAATTATTTTAACTACTTACTAAATGGTATATTAATTTATTCAAAATATGCTTTTTAGCACCTATAGGTGTTAGGCATTGATCTTATTAAATCTATTTATATATGAGAAAAAAATAACAAAAAGCGTTAATATGGTCAAGGTCACACAACTTATTATGGGTTTGCTTAGTAGGAGACGTATGACCAGTTCCCAGGCATCATCCTAAATCCCAATTTTGTACTTTAAACACTTGTAATTATCCAACTCTTGGGTACCTTGTTCTCCAGGCTCTGCAACATTGTAATGCCAACTCTTACTTCGTTTGTAAGGTTACTACAAAATCTTAATTGTTTCTCAAAAATGTAGGTCCTCGGGCCCCTGCCAACATTCAAGTCTCTTTCGATAGTGGGGCTCTGAAGGCATCTTTTTCATGGGCACCAGCAGAAGGAGCTTTCAATTATACTGTGATGGCTTTGAGTGACTCTTCAGAGCTGACCTGCAGTACAACTTTGAGCTCCTGCACCATCTCTTCCCTCCAGTGTGGAACTGAATACCTGATTTCAGTTTTAGCAAGCAATGATGCTGGATCTAACAAATCATCTTCAGCAGTGACCCTGAAAACTGGTATGTAAGCAAGAATGAGATTGCTGTAGGGCTTGCAGCAGTGACTGCTGTAAGGGAGCCATTCACTGACAATGTTCCTGAACACTCTGGAAAAAATGAAAATGAAAGCCTGGTCTAAATGAAAGCATTGAGTTGGGCATTCTCATGAATTTGAATAATATTGATAGTGAAGCAAGATATTGTGCACTGCAACAAGCACTTTTTGGAAAATTAGAAGGCCTGGGTTTCTATTCCAGATCTTTCATTAATAGTTTTTTCTTTTTTCTTTGTAAAGCTGTGAAAATTCTAACATCTGGTTTGACTGTTCATGCAGATAACTGCCTCTTCTTTACATCATGTCTCATGACCTAGGTTTGGTGGGAGTTGCCATTTTTTTCAGATAAAGATAGGATATTTCTAGTTCTCAATATGTGTTTAGATATTTTTCCTTTTTTTTTTTTTTTTTTTTTCTTTTTTTGAGACAGAGTCTTGCTCTGTCGCCAGGCTGGAGAGCAGTGGCGCAATCTTGGCTCACTGCAACTTCCCCATCCCGGGTTCAAGCGATTCTCCTGCCTCAGCCTCCCAAGTAGCTGGGGCTACAGGGGCATGCCACAACACCCAGCTAATTTTTGTATTTTTAGTAGAGTCGGGGTTTCACCATATTGGCCAGGATGGTCTCGAAATCTTGACCTCATAATCTGCCCCCCCTCGGCCTCCCAAAGTGCTGGGACTACAGGCGTAAGCCACCTCTCCTGGCCCCATTTTCATTCTTATCAGAGAGATAACAACATACACATGTGGAGGTTGACTCCTCTATTTAGAAATATCTATGTGTTTTGAGGATGGAAACTAACACTTAATGAAACTAGCACTTAATAAAGACCTACTGTGTCTCTGGCACTATATTATTTCAGTTATATCTTACTTAGTGAGGTAGATTCTATTATCTTCTTTTTTAGACAAGAAAATTGAAGCTCAGAGAAGTTACGTAATTTTCCCAAGGGCACACTGATAATAAGCAGTAGAGATGGGATTCAAGCTGCTCAAGTTTGCCTAATTTCAATGCTTAAAGCCAAAGAACATGTCGGCAATTACAATAATGTCTACTTTATTCAACAGTCAGTTATGTCATTCTAAGTTTAAAAAGCTTCTCAGCAGGAAGAAAAGGAGCCGTCACTAAACTCATAAGCTCCATTCCACAGGAAAAAAAAAAAAAAATACAGCTATTCTCTCAGGCCCGAACTTTCTTATAGTTATATTAGATTAAGGTCAATCACAACAAACTTAATGATTTGGCTTCTCTTTTGATAACTATAATTTAATGTGGATGGTACATTAGAAGTGATTATGAGGACAGCATAGCTGAGAGTGGGGGAAGAGAGAAAAAAACACTTTCAAAAGCATAGCCGTTCTGAATTAGGCAGTTAGGCATTTAATGTAGGGGAGAACCGTGCAGTGTTTTTTAATCTTGGATGCACATTAAGAGCATCTGGGGAAGGCCGGGCGCAGTGGCTCACGCCTGTAATCCCAGCACTTTGGGAGGCCGAGGCGAGTGGATCACAAGGTCAAGAGATCAAGACCGTCCTGGTCAACATGGTGAAACCCCGTCTCTACTAAAAATACAAAAAAAATAGCTGGGCATGGTGGCGCGTGCCTGTAATCCCAGCTACTTGGGAGGCTGAGGCAGGAGAATTGCCTGAACCCAGGAGGCGGAGGTTGCGGTGAGCCAAGATTGCGCCATTGCACTCCAGCCTGGGTAACGAGCGAAACTCCGTCTCAAAAAAAAAAAAAAAAAAGTTCAAATTGAGTTTTCTAGCTGGGCATGGTGGCGCGTGCCTGTAATCCCAGCTACTCAGGAGGCTGAGGCAGGAGAATTGCCTGAATCCAGGAAGCGGAGGTTGCGGTGAGCCGAGATCGCGCCATTGCAGTCCAGCCTGGGTAACAAGAGCGAAACTCCGTCTCAAAAAAAAAAAAAAAAAAAAGAGCATCTGGGGAGCTTTTATAAAATCCCTATACCCAGGTCCCACTTAAGACCAATTGGAGTTGCTGGGAATAGAATCTGGATACGAATGGTTTGTAAAAGCTCCCCAGTTGATTCTACCATGCAGTCAGGGTTAAGTGCCATTGAAGTAGTCCTTCACACTTATGGGTCCAGGAGGTTCTAACGCAGCTTGTGTATAACACAGTCATGATCATGGGGATGACCTTGACTTATCAACAAAAGAACTATGTTTACAAAGTACTATGTGTTTCCTGGGGCCTAGAAATATGTAATATATTTTGGGAAGATTTCCACTAGAGAAGACTAAAATTTTTGAAGCTTAGCACTTGAATAAACCAACTTTATTTGAATTCATTCTTTCAGAAGATTTTGTTCCATCAATAAATGAGGCATTATGTGAATAAATGAGATATTGCCTTAACACAGAGAAACAGCCAATATTAACCGAATTAATCCATGCCTGTTTTTGACATAGCCTAGCATTTATTGTGTGAGATAAATTTTAGGACATCTCCTGGATTTGTACTGAGTTATACATACTATTTGATTGGTTCCTTATTCACAGCATCTAGTATGTTAACTCTATGCTTAAGATGCTCCCTGGAGGATGTAATGGGCATATGAATGTATTCTGTCATCCAGTGCATGAGAGGCTGCAGTTAGAACTTTCCAGGATGCACACAGTGGCTCATGCCTGTAATCCCAACACTTTGAAAGGCCGAGGCAGGTGGAGTGCTTGAGTCCAGGAGTTTGAGACCAGCCTGGGCAACATGGCTAGACCTCATCTCTACAAAAAATACAAAAATTAGCCAGGTATGGTGGCATGCACCTGTAGTCCCAGCCACTCAGGAGGCTGAGGTGGTGGATCACCTTAGCCTGGGGGGCAGAGGTTGCAATGAGCCGAGATCGTACCACTGCATTCCAGCCTGGGTGATAGAGCCAGACCTTGTCTCAACTTAAAAAATGATAATAATTAATTAATTTAAAAAAAACATTTAGGCTGGGCACATTGACTTACTCATGTAATCCCAGCACTTTGGGAGGACAGGTGGGAGGATCACTTGAGGTCAGGAGTTCGAGACCAGCCTGGCCAACATGGTGAAAACCTGTCTCTACTAAAAGTACAAAAATTAGTTAGGCATGGTGGTGCACACCCCTAGTCCCAGCTACTCAGAAGGCTGAGGCAGGAGAATCACCTCAGCCAGAGGTGGAAGTTACAGGGAGCTGAGATCATGCCACTACACTCCAGTCTGGGCAACTGAGTGCGACTCTGTCTCAAAATAAATAAATTAATTAATTTAAAAAATAGTTTTCTTAAAAAAAAACTTTCCATGCCATGGAGACTTTACATATAAACTCCTAGAAAGACCTCATTCCATTCCTTCCTACTTATGTGATCTCGGACAACTTACCAACCTCTACAAGCCTCAGTTTTCTCAATTGTAAGATGATAATAGTTGCTGGAAGAATTAGAGAAAATATTAATATAAAACACAATAAATGATGTCTATATTTTAATCTTTAAAACATATACTTCTGGGATATTCATTATTCTACTCAAGCCAGACTAGTTTCATCTCTGGTTGAGTCAAATATTTCAACAAATAATCTAACAATGAAAATATTCATGCCTTAAGATGAATATGAATCTCTGATGACCCATTATTTCAAACTATATTTCATTTAACAAGAGAATGTGACCGGTCGTTGAAATTTGTTGTAGTGGTTTGGGGCCTGTAACGTAGCCTTTGTTCCTATAAAGAAATGTTCTATGCTTCCAGTGCACAGTTTTGCATTTTGTGTATCACATTCAATCTGTCACAAAGCTCAGAGTTGCTGATTTGGGTTGTAGTGAAATCTTGGATAATTGCAAAGATGCAGAGAAAATCTCCTGAAGCAGTCTCATGATTGCTTATTATTGATCATTTCCTAGTTGCTTGTGCACCTGGAAGAGTGATGATCCAAGAAGAGCCCCCTGGCCACCTGTCTGTGACTTGGTCCGATGTAGATCTGGGTGACTACTATGTGGCCTTTGTGAAGAGTGATGATGGCTTGGAAGTCCACTGCAACACATCTCTCACTCAGTGCAATTTCTTATCTGAGTGTGGCTTCACGTATTTTATTAGTGTTTTTGCCTATAATAAGGCAGGGCAAAGTCCTTTGGGTGACATATTCAATTATACCACAGGTAAGTCCCATGTGATGCTTGTCAAGGGAGTTCTGAGATCACTAACCTCAGCAGCAGAATGGATCACCTATTGCACTAACTGACCTACCACCTGGTAGTCATTCTAGGGCCAACTACAGAAAGTAATCTCTTATCTCACATTCTTTCCAGAGTAGGGAATTTTGGCTTTGTGGACCCAAGCATGACAAGAATGCAAGGTTTAGGAGTGAAAAGAGGAGAAGAAATGTAGTTGTTCAGTCTTGCTCTGAGAAAATCCACTAAGGTGTACTCAGTGAGTGTTCTAGCATGTGCTGCGGCCAAAGAGGAGGCAGTGCCTCTGTTTCAGGAGGTCGCTTTTCCCCTGAGACCAAGACAGACATACAGTGGCCACGATGCTACATGGTATGGAGGGCTTTGGAATAGGACACCTGGGTTTACACCCTAACTTGACCACGAATTCATTCCTTCAGTGGGGACAATGATGTCCATCCACCTTGCTAGTTCCTTAGTATTCTCTACTGCAAAATGGGACACATCATGAGAACATGAATGTGAAAAGGTCTTGTATGTGATATAGTGTGATGCAAATATTTTTATTCGCATCGCAATTGCTGTTGCTATTATTCTCCTCCACTAGGCTTGCTTTTTTTTTTTTTTTTTTTGAGAGAGTGTCTCACTCTGTCACCCAGGCTGGAGTGCAGTGGTGCTATCTCGGCTCACTGCAACCTCTGTCTCCTGGTTGAGTGCAATCTCTTGCCTCAACCAAGCAATTCTCCTGCCTCAGTGCAACCTCTGCCTCCCAGATTCAAGCAATTCTCCTGCCTCAGCCTCCCAAGTAGCTGTGACTACAGGCATGTGCCACCACACCTGGCTAATTTTTTACATTTTTAGTAGAGTTGGGGTTTCACTTTGTTAGCCAGGATAGTCTCAATCTCCTGATCTTGTGATCTGCCTGGCTTGGCCTCCCAAAGTGCTGGGACCACAGGCGTGAGCCACCACACACAGCCTAGGCTTGCATCTTGTACAAGGCAGGAATTATGTCTTATTTTATTTATCTCTTCATCCTCAGTACTTATAATAGTGTGATCAGCATATGGGAGATGCTCAGGTTTTGAAGAATGAGTGGAGTGATTTAAAATTGAATAACTGCATTACAAAGAAGAATACTCAAATATAATTATATAAAAGTCTAGCTGAATTACAGTCAATTTTGCCAGGACAGGGGATCTAAATCATTGGCTTTTTCAGAATTTGGAATAAGAGGCTATTGACAAGATCCTAACACAGGAGGGCCCTCCAGAATGGCCTTGAACTGGATTTTGAAGAATGAATGGGAATGTATGTAGGCAACAGCATCCCAGGGAAACTCCAAACTGAATCAGACATTTGCCAATGGGGTTCTTTTAGAGTCTCTTAAGACCCACCTATATACGGTGGGCACAGTGGCTCATGCCTGTAATCCCAACACTTTGGTAAGTCAAGGCAGGCAGATCACTTGAGGTCAGGAGTTGAGACCAGCCTGGGCAACACGGAGAAACTCTGTCTCTGCAAAAAATACAAAAATTAGCCAGTCATGGTGGCATGCACCTGTAATTCCAGCTATGTGGGAGGCTAAGGCATGAAAATGACCTGAACCCTGGGAAGCGGAGGTTGCCGTAAGCTGAGATCACACCACTGCACTCCATCCTGAGTGACAGAGCAAGACCCTGTCTCTTTAAAAATAAACAAACAAAAAATTACATATATAACTATGATCCCCACCCCCTAGCTTTATTTGATTTAGTGTCTAGAAAGGCTGACAGAATCTGAGAAGTTAGACTACATAACATTTTGCCAGGCAAAAGAGGGGCAAGGCTTTCCAGCAATCTTCTCTGCATAGACAATGAGGGTGCACGTGGCATGGGGAATTGAGGAGTCTGGTGTGGTGGAAAGTCAGGGAGCACAGCTGAACCTTACAGCTCGTGATGGCCTTGAATGTCATGCTGAGGATTTACCCTCTATGCAGTGGCATATAGGCCAAGACTAGACCTGGACAGACCCGTAAGGGGTCACTGTAGACATTAGGGAGGGCAGTGGCAGAGGCTGCGGGCTTGGGAGGTCAGGACTCAGTGTCCTCCTGGCTGCATTGCTCTTGATGGGACCGCCATTTTCCCTCTGCTCCTGCTTTCAGCTCCCTGTTGCCCTAGTGACATAAACCCGGTGTTGGTGTCCAGTGACAGAGTTGAGATTGTCTGGTCTCCTGTCCGTGGTGCCGAGCTCTATGAAACCAAGGCTGTCGATGGGTACAATGTGGTTGAGTGCAACGACACTGCTCCTGCATGCACCCTTTCAGCTCTAGAGTGTGACACCAAGTACAACATCACTGTGTATTCCTTCAGTGAAGTCCGAGGCAGCAATATGTCATGTACTCCTCAGTTCATAACCACAGGTAAGGCACAGCTAGCATCCCACTCACTGGTGTCTGAATGATTCACCCCAGCTGTGAGCCTCAGGATGGGCATTCAGTGAGACCAATAAAAAAGTTAAATGCGGCCGGGCGCGGTGGCTCAAGCCTGTAATCCCAGCACTTTGGGAGGCCGAGGCGGGTGGATCACGAGGTCAAGAGATCGAGACCATCCTGGTCAATATGGTGAAACCCCGTCTCTACTAAAAATACAAAGAAAAAGTAGCTGGGCATGGTGGCACATGCTACTCAGGAGGCTGAGGCAGGAGAATTGCCTGAACCCTGGAGGCGGAGGTTGCGGTGAGCCGAGATCGCGCCATTGCACTCCAGCCTGGGTAACAAGAGCGAAACTCCGTCTCAAAAAAAAAAAAGTTAAATGCTGTTAATCAGTATTTGTGGGGACCAATAGACCCCCTGTTGTATGAAGGAGAGGCAGAGGAGAAGGCAGAAGAGGAAAGTGGAAAAAAACGAAAACAAAAGAGGAGACGGTGGGGTGAGTGGAAGGTTTTGCCAATGATTACCGCAGCCATTCGGTTCCTCCTATCTTTAAGAAGCCTGCCTGTACTCACACCATGAAGGTTTTTAGATGTGTATCTTATTTACTTTCACTTTTGGAGTTCACAATGCTCTTAAACATTTTCCAGCTAGTTCAATACTGTATGAACCCAATGTCCTATGTTCATGTCAACAGTTTTCCACACATAGGCACTATGATTTTGGCCTGCATACATGGCATGGTTGAAAACTATGATGATCTCATTGGGGGGTAAATCAGTTTTAGACCAAATGGCACGTGTGATATTTTTGACTCATGCTGTTTCAATTAATACTCTAAAATCTCTTAGCTCCTTGCAGTCCTGAAATAAAAAATGTGTCAAGGGATGCATTCTCCATGATTAACGTACACTGGCGATCCACTAATGATGACGCTACTTACACGGTGACTGCCCAGGGGGAGAAAGGACAGTATCAGTGCAGCAGCATGGGAGAGTCCTGCACCATGGGGGGCTTGCCCTGCGGCTCAGTGTTCTCTGTCACTGCTGTGGCTGAAACACAGGCAGGACGGAGCCTACCCAGCTACAGTGTGCCTCTGGAAACGGGTATGTAGCAACCACCAGCCTGAATGTTGACTTTGGTGGGGTCCTTAGGAAGTGTTTCAAGATGTGAACTTCCTTATTTAATCTACCCTCACTGCAATAGAAATACATTCAACTCAGAGACATGTCAAAGAGTCCCGGTCATAGAAAATAAAATTTTCAATATTTTACGGGTTCTGTAAAAATATCCTCAAGATTAGTACATCCATTCACTGGCATCAGAGAAGGAATACTTATGCATTCCTCAAAACATTTATTTGGGTTCATATTCCCCTAAGACATAACCTATCAAACCAGCTAACAAATGAGTAGCCACCTAAGCTGGGTTGTTACTTCTTTGGCTCAGCCCTTTCAAATTTTTGTCTTTAGAAAATGCTTTCTGACTTTCAGTTTCCTGATAGGTAACGGGGAGATAATGGCCTCATAGGGTGGTTATGAGTATTAAATTGACTAATGCTGCTTTGCACTCAGCATAGTGTCTGATGCATAGCAAGAGCTCCATAAAAGAAAACTATTATTACATCATAGCATTGTGTGTGAATGAAACGTGGCAAATCACTTCAAGCCTTTGGACATCACTTTTTTTTTTCTTATATATAGTGATATATAGCATTTTGGACTGTAAAAGTTGAAATACCTAAACAAAGAAAGCAGCAGTAGGATAGAGACCATACAAAATACTGCGTACATGAAGAGGTTAGGTATCCTATATTCTGGGTAATGGGTCCCTGAATAATCAAGATGACTGTGGCATTGTAGGCAGCTAAGAAATCAAGCCTTTATATTGGTGATGTCCTATGAAATTTTCAAGAAAGGCAAATTCTATGTAATTGCTAATGCTACAAAATGTTCTATTGGGAGGAGCGAATGCAACCGTTGCTTTGAAATTTGCAATCAGAATTGGTGAACATGGGGGCAACAAAGGATTTCTTTCTTATTCTGAAAAAAAAAACATGGTGGAAACTTTCAACAACCAGGTGCAGTGAATTCATGGGGAAAGCGCCCGCTCTACACAGTGAATGTCACATGACGCATCAGAGGAAATGAACAAAAGGAAATGGAAAGTTTGGGGAATGTAGGATATTGAGTGAAACACAGGCAACATACCATTCCTTGTCATTTCTCACGGATAATCTTCGAGGGAAAAACATCTCCAGTTCTTTTTCTTTTATCTCGTTTCAGCGCCTTGCTGTCCAACTGGTCTGACAGTGACTCAGATCACCCAGTCAGTGATCAATGTGAGCTGGACTATCGGGACAGTGGCTCAAACCCATGTTGTCGTTCTGGAGTCACACACTGGACAGTCTAAGTGTCACACTCATCAAAACCACTGCCTCCTGGGATGCATTACATGTGGCATCAATTACACGGTGACATTAAAAGCAATTAGTGCCACCGGGTTGGCTGCAGATTGCTCCTTCCAAAGTTATTTCTCTAGTAAGTGAATTCTAGCTCTAGAGTATCATTAGCCACTTGACTATTGTAAATCCAGCCTGTCCTCCTCATTTAAAAAGATGCTGCATCTCTACCTAGTTTGACTTACAAACTCAGATAACCTTCTAAAGTGGTTATAGTTTTCCCTTTGACTTAGAACCTCAAAGCTTCAGAGGCTTCTGTTGGTAGTTGGTGAATTAATTCCCCTGGTAACAATGTTCATGTTTGTTTTTTCTGAAGGGACCATGTATCTTTAGATGGCACAGCTACCTGCAACACAGAGTAACTCAGCCTCGCAGAGTTTACTGAAAGCATTAGAGCACACATTTTTTTTTTGTTTGCATTTTTTTCTTCTCATTATTGTTATGCTACTACCTCTCTTTTCTAAGCTTCTTCAGCTCCTTCAATGGTTTCTTATTTCAGCAGGCAAAGAGAGCAAAGACATCTGTCTACTGACAGTATTGTACCTCGTTCTTCACAAAGACCAAAACCATTAGGGAATAGCAGGGGAAGGTAAAAGCAGTGCAAGGTTACCAAATGAGATTTCTCTTGCATGATTCTAAACCACTGAAGTGGCTACTTGTAGCATGGTTTTGAAAAAACTTGTGAGGATGCTTCTCAGGCTTAAGGAGAAAGAGTACAATGACCAGTTACACCTGCCTGGGGCATGAGATGCAAGAGCTGGAATATAATGTTGGCATCCCAGAGGTAGTAGAGTCTTAACGGGGAATCAAAATTAGACAGGGCTTCATGGTTTTTTTGGTTTTTGTTTGTTTGTTTGATTGATTTGAGACGGATTCTCACTTTGTCACCCAGACTGGAGAGCAGTGGTGTGATCTTGGCTCACTGTAACCTCCACCCTCTGGGTTCAAGCAATTCTCCTGCCTCAGCCTCCCAAGTAGCTGGGATTACAGGCACCTGCCACTGTGCCTGGCTAATTTTTTGGTATTTTTAGTACAGACAGGGTTTCACCATCTTGGCCAAGCTGGTCTTGAACTCCTGACCTCATGATCCACCCTCCTTGGCCTCCCAAAGTTCTGGGATTACAGATGTGAGCCGCCATGCCCGGCCAACATGGATTTTTATAAGCTGTGTTGCCTAATCTTCCCTGATTCTGTCTCCTCGTTGAAAAGACAGGAACAGTAATATTTTCCTAATGTATCCTTTGAAGTCATTTTGAGAATCAAAATAAGTCATAATGTGAAAACATTCAGAACATGCTACACATATGTCAGCTGGGGTGTATTTCTTTTGACCATTATCTTGTATCGGATTTACTGCCTAAGTTCTTACCTTGAGAGCCAGTTCTCAGAATATGGCCTATTGCTTATTCTTTAGGTAATAAATCAAGTAAGCCTGATTATAATAACTTTTTTAAATTATGCAATAGGATCTTTAACTTAGTTACTAAGGAATCCGTTTGGTGCCCTTATTGGCACCTAATGTGTGGCTTGCTCAAGGTATTTAGAATAGGATAAAAATACAAATCAACTACAATGGATGAAGTGTGAACCAGCAAACTTGGTCACTGGCATGTTGTATAAATGGCTGCACCCAAGGTGTCATGCTACTCAGCTCAGCAAAATTGTTTTTTTTTTTTCAATTAGGGCTAAATGCAGTTAATTATATTTAAGTTTAATCCCACAAAAATCAAATGAAACTAGGGCACTATGAGAGATCTTGACAAGGATGCTGTACCTTTGACTCACAGTTTGAGTCATGTACAATATGTACATGCCAATTTGTGGACCTTTCTGACTCACCATTGTTCTATATTAAAAATTCATACCACACACCACCTTCACACATGGATTTCTTTCTTTCTTTCTTTCTTTTTCTTTCGCTCTCTCTCTTTTTCTTCTTTTCTTTCTTTATGCCTTTTCCTTCTTCCTTTCTCTCCCTCCTTCCCTCCCTTTCCTTCCTTCCTTCCTTCCTACCTTCCTATTTTTTGAGACAGGATCTCACTTGGTCACCTGGGCTGGAGTGAGTGCTGTGGCACAATCATAGCTACTGCAGCCTTGAACTCCTGGGCTCAAGCCATCCTCCTGCCTCATCCTCCCAAGTAGCTGGGACCACAGGTGTGCACCACCACAACTGGCTGGTTTTTGTTTGTTTGTTTTTGTTTTTGTTTTTTGTAGAATCAGGGTCTCCCTATGTTGCCCAGGCTGGTCTCAAATTCCTAGACTTAAGTGATCCTCCTGCCTTGGCCTCCCAAAGTGCTGGGATCATAGAGATGAGCCATCGTGTCCGGCCACCCATGCATTTCTGATTATATGGCCCACTATGGAAAGAACTTGAGTACTCCTTTAAATCTTGCTCTGACCTAACCAGTAATTAATCCTGTTATTTAGAATAGTTCACTTACATTTTTTCCCTGCAGTGATTAAGACCATGTTTGGATGACGGTGGAATAAAACAAGTGATTTTGCATTTGTTTATTTTTATTGCCTAGGTGCCTGCTGCCCTTTGGGGGTGAAATTATATAGGTTGGGCCCTAACGGCATCCGAATCTACTGGCAAGCCTCCAGGGGCTCTGCCAATTACAGCACTGACCTCTATGGCTCCAAAGGCATTTTCACATGCACCCCAAGTGCTGGCCGCAGTTTCTGTGATGTCGCTGAGATACCCTGTGGGGATGTATACACTGTGATGGTCTCACCAGTTGCTGAAACAGGATTGAAGCTTACTTTCTGTCCAGAAAAAATATATTCAGGTAAAGCAAGTTATGAGTTTATCAAAAAGTAACCCTGAATTCAGATCTGTGAATTAAGAATCAAAGCAATCAAACTTATTTGCTATATAGGAAGAACACAGAGGGCATGAATTTTTTTTTTTTTTTTTCTGATAGCATCTCACTCTGTCACCTAGGCTGGAGTGCAATGGCAGAATCTCAGCTCACTGCAACCTCCACTTCCCAGGTTCAAGCAATTCTCCCACCTCAGCTTCCCAAGTAGCTTCGATTACCGGCATCCGCCATAATGCCCAGCTAATTTTTGTAATTTTGTAGAGACGGGGTTTCACCATATTGGCCAGGCTTGTCTTGAACTCCTGACCTCAGGTGATCCACCTGCCTTGGCCTCCCAAAGTTTTGGGATTACAGGCGTGAGCCACCATGCCTAGCTGAAGGCATAAAATTTCTACACAGTCCAGGCAGATTCTGGCTGTGGAAGAACCCAAGCTTCTTTGAAATTGCGATGCTTTGTTATTATTTAATTTAGAGATTATCTTCTCCGTTCCACTCTCCTCCTTCCTAAAAAGGAATAGATACTTGCTGCTTAACTAGTGAAGCAAATTTAAGATGATTTTCTGCTTTAAGATTTAGGGATCAATTTTTAACATAGTCTTCTTGATAATGTAGACATCCTGGGATGTTGGAAATTAGAAGACTTTAACTTTTATTTGCACAGACTGAGAATTATGACTGAGGAAAAGTTAGAGGATTAGAAAAAATGAATTTACAAATCACAAGCCAGGCTTGGAAATATGAGTGGGCAGACAGTCTGTGATCACAAAACATGGCTGTCAGCAACTGCCATCTCACCAGAGCTGGCAGGAAAACATTAGCAATTCTCCCGCTCTGTGTTCCAGCACCTTCTGCTACCTTGCCCAGGGCACAGTCATATATTTTTCATATATTCCTGGAAGAAAAGAGATGATGAAGCCCTAGAATTTTTCAGGTGGACACAGAAAAAAAAAAGAATAAATATTGGCTCACAAACCTTTACTGATAGCCAGAATCTAGAATTTCCAATGATATGCTGGTGACAAGAGGTTCAGATGGCCCTTGGTGATGGAAGGAGGCCAGTTCCTCCCAAGGGGGTATTCTCATTGTCCCTGGCTGTCATGCTCTGATTCTTTGGTTTTCCATTATTTGGTCCACAGGACAAGTTGGCCCAAGGCATAGTCCTATGGGAAGGGACAGGAATAGGTTTCTGGAGTAAGGATGAGCTCTTAGGAAGATAAGTCTACCGCTCAGTAACAATTCTGCATTATATCTGCATAATATTTTATAATTTATCGAGTGGTTTCATATTATATATCTCATTCAATGCTCAAAATATGTTATGTTGTGGGCTCAACAGATTTTATTATCTCCACTTTATGAGAAAACTGAAAGTCAGAGGCCCCCAAATCTCTATCTACAACTCTTCTCTTCTCCTAACCCCTAAATCCATATTCAAATTTGATACTTCCAGCTGGAGGTGCCCATGCATTTCAAACCCCTCAGGGCCAAAAGGAACTCCTGATCCTCTGCTTTTTCTGATCTTCCTCCCATCGTCCTTGTTTCAGGTACACTAGCTAAAAACTCTGGAGTCAACTTCCATCTCCCTCCATATCTAAGTAGTCTCAAATCCTTGTCCTGGTCACTTTCATGATGGTTCCTAAATCCGCCTTCTTCTCTTCATTCCCACAGCTACTGCTATGCCTCAGGCCCTCACCACCTCTCCCCTAGACTACTGCACCAGTCCCGTCTCCCTATCCTCACTCCGGCCTCCGTACTGTTACCAGAGTTGTCATTCCAGGACACTGGTCCAATTGTGTTACTTTTATGCTTCCAGATCTTCAAAATCTTTCCATTTCCCCATAAGATAACATTCAATCCTCTGAGCACGGTGTTCAAAGTCCCTTATAATCTGTCCCCTGTCTGTCTATACCTGCACTGTTCAATAGAAATTTAATGAGTCACGTATGAAAAATTTAATTTTCGTGTAGCCATATTAAATAAGTAAAAAGATAGAGGTGAAATTAATTTCATAATATATTTTAGTTAACCCAGTATATCCAAAATATTATCATTTCAACATCTAATCAATATAAAAATTAATAGATATTTTATATTTTTTCATACCGTCTTTGAAATCTGGTGTGTCTTTTGTACTTAAAGCACATTTAGTTCAAGCTAGCCATGTGTTCAGTAGCACTTAAGTGTCTCCCATACTGGACAGAGAAATTTTTTTTGCTTGTTTTTTATCGAGACAGGGTCTTGCTTTGTCACTCAAGCTACAGTTCAGTGGCACAATCACAGCTCACTGCAGCCTTGATCTCCTGGGTTTGCACGATCCTCCCGCCTCAGCCTCCCAAGTAGCTGAGACTATAGGCATGCACCTATCAGACTATAGGCTAATTTTTAAAAACTTTTTGTAGAGACAATGTCTTGCTATGTTGTCCAAACTGGTCTCAAACTCCTGAGCTCCAGCAATCCTTTCACCTTGGCCTCCCAAAGAGCTGGTATTACAGGCATGAGCCACTGTCCCTGACCTAAACAGAGAAATTTTAGGCTCATTCCACAACATCTGTCCTGAGAGGACGCTCCTCTCTAGTCTAGGCATCTGGCATCATTCACACATGCTTGCTGCTACTGCACACACCTCCTATGCTAGATCATGTTTCTGAGCTACTGCAGTGCTCTTCTGTTTGACCAAAATTCCACCCCTCCACACACCAAGAAAACTCTTCCAGCCCCAATTTTCCTTGCTGTGAAGGCTTCTCCAATTCTCATAAGCTGAGTTGATCCTCTCTCTCCCTCCTTTATGAACCCCCCAGCACCCTATCTGCACTGCAACATGTTACTGTGAATTGAATGCATGTTGCTTCTCCTGATAAAGTATTATCTATTTGACTTCCAGTATGTAGCACATAACTGTTGCCTGATATATTTTAAATTTTAAAAAGAATGAATCAATGAATTTATGCGCCAAAGATTATACAGCTAAATGAGTGATGGAAGTCTTGTTCTTTCTCCTGCTCCGTGCCCACAATTTCACCCTTAGAGAGTCATTCCTCTGAAGGCTGGTTAGCCACCAGAAGTCCTTGTGAGTTAGAACTCAAGCTCTTTGATGGGATGCCAACTCAAGTCTGCAGCCATTTCAGCTTAGTAACATTAGGTATCTAGACTCAAGTTAGGAAATCCTCCTTTGCTCAGTGTCCCTGGTAAAAGCCGTACATTTGGAAGATGTTTTTCGGTTTTGTTTGTTTGCAATATCAGTGATGCCTCACTCTGATAATCAGGACAATATTGTAAAGGACAACGACCAATATTTATTGTGTGCTATGTGCCAGGCATTATTCTAACGGGTTTACGTATATTAGCTCAGTCCTTATAACAAACCTATGAGATTGGCATTCTTTCTTGTTTGTTTTTTCTTTTGAGATAGAGTCTCACTCTGTCGCCCAGGCTGGGGTGCAATGGGGCACTCTCAGCAAACTGCAACCTCCACCTCCTGAGTTCACGTGATTCTCCTGCTTCAGCCTCCTGAGTAGCTAGGATTACAGATGCACACGACAACGCCCAGCTAATTTTTGTATTTTTTGGTAGAGACAGGGTCTCACCATGTTGACCAGGCTGTTCTCAAATTCCTGACCTCAGGGGATCTGCCCACCTGGGCCTCCCAAAGTGCTGGGGTTACAGGTGGGAGCCATTGCACTCAACCAAGCTTGGCGTTCTTATTCTTATGCTTTTCAGATAAATTAAGGCACAGTGAAGTGACTTGCCCAGGTCATGCTGCTAGTATTATCTTCTCTTATCACCCAAGTTCATTCCTGTTCATTTTTGGTTCACTTTCTTCTATTCTTTCTTCAGTTAAATCTTCACTATCTTAAATACATAAATGAATAAATTTTATTTTAAATGCTTGTGTTTTTATTACAGTAACTTGCTCTGGAAGTATACTTGGAATGGGTAAGTTATTTTTCTCATGGATAAACTAGAACAGGATTTGTGTTGCTCCATTTTTTGGGTTACTTAATGAAGTCAGCTGACTCTTCAATTAGAAAGCACATGCTTGCTTGCTTGCTTTGATACGAGGGGTTCCTGCTCTCTTGTCCTGTAATTTTTTCTCCCCATTATAGTGTCTCCTCTCAGATTCCACCAGTTGAGATGAATTTGTTTAAATTCTGAAGTCTTTTCAGTATTCTAGGGTCCTACAGGAAAATGTAAACAGTTTTTGGAGGTGCAGACGCTTCATCCCTCAAACTTCAGAAAGTGATTCCCAGCTCAGCTGTACGTTGGAGTCACCTGGAGAGCTTAAAATTAACTGATGTCTGGGTTCTGTCCCCAGAAAGTTTGATTTAATTGGTCTGGGGTGAGAGCTGGGCATCAGGGTTTATAAAAGCTCCTCAGGTGACTAAAGTATAGCCAAGGCTAAGAACTGCTACTTTAGAGCCATGCTGCTCAGACTTTATTGTGCACGCACATCACCTGGGGCCTCATTGAAGCCAGACTCTGATTTGGTCGGTAGAGGAAGGATCTGAGGCTCTGCATTTCCATAAGGTACAGGTGAGGCTGCTGGTCTTACCACACACGGAGTAGCCAGGCGTTAGAGAGAATCTGTTAATGGCCTGCTTCGATGTTTGCTCCTGGTTTGCATGAATGGGTGTACCCTGTAGAGAAAAAGGTGCTGAAAGGGCAGTTGGAATAAAGGAAACCCTCACTGCCTCCTCGGTTTTGCTCAGTGATGATCTTATCTAGGCTATTTTGGTCACCCCAACAGAGATGACTCTTGGCAGGGCAGTGGAGATGAGCAAACGGAGCCATGAGTGCTGACCCAGTAAGCAGTGTGTGCTGCTTCATGAGGAGTCCTTGTCACAGCCTTTTAGGGGACAGCTTGGTCTGAGGCTTTAGGAAAAAATCCCCTGGGAATATTATCAATCCAAACTACAGAATTGCCCCCTGCCCCGCCCCTCCCCATTCAGACATGGCTGACTTCCCATGCTGTGAGTGTAAATGAAGCCTTCCTGCCCATAAACCCCACTGGACAGTCTTCCAGTTGGGGCCGGCTCCTCACCCACACCCGCTTCTACTGGCAGGAGCTGGCTCTAAAGTCTCCACTGCCTGTTCTCTGCCTGGGCTTCCTTCCTCTCCCAGCCCATTGCTTCTCTGAGCACAGCAGGATACATACTTTTCAATTCCTGTTCCACCTGCAGGTCCAAAATAACCACAGTCACTATTAATTTTTCAAGAGTTTTTGTTTTCTGTGACTATAATAAGGAACAGATTTTGCTTACCGAAAACACTGTTAAGACACTTCTAATTATAAAAACTTCCTCTAAAAAATCTCCCAAAGTACTGGAGATCCTAAGCCCTGGTGTTCAGTAAAGATCCATGGGCCTAGGTGTGCATTCTTAATCAGTATCCCCGGGAGACACAGAGGTGTGGTTGAAGTGTCTTAGGCCCCCAGGGGAGAGGAGTGGTTTATGATGCATTGGCCTTCTCTATAGTTTTGTTAAAGAAAGAGTTTCTGATTTAAAAAAAAAAAAAAGTAAAAATAAATTTAAATATTTGAAAAGAAAGAGTTTCTATGTTTTAACAAAAAACAAAAAAGGTGGGGTGGCAAGAACAGGCATAGTGGCTCACGCCTGTAATCTCAGCACTTTGGGAGGCCAAGGCAGAGGATCACTTGAGCCCAGGAGTTGGACTCCAGCCTGGCCAACAAAACAAGACCTTGTCTCTCAAAAGGGTGAAAAAAGTAGCCAGGTGTGGTGGCATGTGCCTGTAGTTCCTCTGTAGTCCCAGCTACTTGGGACGCTGAGGTGAGAGGATTGCTGGAGCCTGGGAGTTCAAGGCTGCAGTGAGCAATGATAGCACCACTGCACTCCAGCCTGGGTGACGGACTGAGACACCAGCATCACCAGAGGGCTTTTTAGGAATGTACAGTCTTGGGCCCCATCCTGACCTACTAAATCCCCAGGTGATTCATGCATGTGTTGAAGTCTGAGTAGCACCGCTTAGGTACTATTCTCAAACTTTGCTGTGTGTTAGAATCTCCTGGACAGTTAATGATGAACACAGAGGTCCAGGCCCTAGCCCAGTGAAGTGCTTCTGTAGTTCCATCAGGTTCCCAGGTGATTTTGATACACAGGAAGTTTGAGGAGCACTGCTTTAGGTCACTAATCTCCTCTTTTCCGTCCTTCTAGGCTTCAGTTTATCTTGGCTATTCCCTTCCCTAGCCACAGCTCAGTCTTTAGCCTGAAATCTGCCACTCTCTTGAAGTAGATACTTGTAGAAATCCTGTAGGAGCCAGGCACAGTGGCACACGGCTGTAGTCCTGCTACTCGGGAGCATGAGGTGGAGAATCACTTGAGCCCAGGAGTTTGAGGCCAACCTTGGCAACATAGTGAGAGACCCCTGCTCTCAGCTCAATCTCTCTTAAAAAAAATCCTGCAAGGCCCTCAAAACACAAGAGTAAGCCAGATTATTTGAGGGTTTCTAAGGTCATATGGAAGTCATTATACCTAGGGGGAAATTCTAAATTGCTGTCTTCAATTTCAGCATTTCCCCTTCCTAAACACAGGGCAAGTCCAGTCAGGCCCCTGGGCTGACATGGAGCCTCTGGATATGCTAAGGGGAGCCATGGGAATCTTGCTGGTCTAAGACTCTGGGTCTTCTTTGACTCGTGGAGTATCCTAAAGCTTTTCAAACTTTTTTTTTTTTTAGATGGAGTTTTGTTCTGTCATCTAGGCTGGAGTACGGTGGTGCAATCTTGGCTCACTGCAACCTCTGCCTCTGGGGTTCAAGCGATTCTCATGCCTTTGCCACTTGGGTAGCTGGGGATTACAGGTGTGCACCATCACACCTGGCTAATTTTTATTTTTTTAGCAGAGATGGGGTTTCACCTGTTGGCCAGGCTTGTCTTAAACTCCTAGCCTTGTGATCCTCCTGCCTTAGCCTCCCAAAGTGCTGGGATTACAGGTGTGAGACACCACACCGGCCATAAACAGACTTTTTAAGAGAGATCTAGATTCAAATCCTGCCACCATCACTTGCTCATAGTCAAGTTGTGTAAATTCTCTCTAAGCCTAGGTTTCCTCATCTGAAAATTGGAATAAATAATAATCCCTCATAGAAGAGAATAAGGATTAAATCAGAATGTAAATTATTGGACACAAAACTAAGATATTTGCATTTTAACCTTGGTCCTCGTAATACACTTACTCACTGATTCTGTAAGTGTGGTCCTGGGGCCAAAAGCATCAGCATCAGCTGGGAACCTCTTAGAAATGCCGTTTCTCAGGCTCCACCATAGACCTACTGAATCAGAAATTCTGGGGCTAGGGCCCAGCCGTCTTTGTTTTAACAAGCCCTCAAAGTGCTTCTGATGCATGCTAAAGTATGAGAAGCGCGGCTTTAATTCAAGAAAACTATTTCAATGCTGAAAATTTGATGCAGGTTGGAATGGAAAGAAAAAAAAAAAACTTGTTGAGGTGATGGGGCTCTAACCCCCAGCTAGATAGATGGGAGGGGTTTGTGCCTGACATCACACCATGAGTGGGGACTGGAGGGGGGGTGTCCTTCATCTTTAGGACCCTGAATGTTTCAGTGTCACCTGCACATCCTGGGCAACTTTGAGGAAGTTTCCTCTCTGTGACACACTTAGCAGCCTAACAGGTTTATGTTCCCCCTATAAAACTCCCTAAGTCAATAAAATTTTGCAGTTCCCTGAGGAGCACAGCAAGTTGGCCAGGGGTGGAAAGGAAAGTGCCTTTGTTTTGAACCAGCAGACTCGGATTGAAGAGACTCTGGAAGGGTTCGTTTTGTGAAGCAGGAGAGAGATCACTCTGGTTAGTTAGAAACTGCTGATCCGTTTAAACACTTTGCCAGTTGTCATAGTTTCAGGTTTACTTGCCATGAAGTGCTGCAGAAATAGCATCTCAAATCAAAATAACACATGAAATCTCAGACATTGGTGCTTTTTAAGAAGATGTCTGCATATTGAATGCATCTTTCGCTGCTTCCCTTCCTTACCCTTTTCAGTGATTTATAGAGGGAAGAGAAATGAAGAATGACACAGTGAGCCCCAGATAAAAACAGAAACTTGACAGAAAGTGAGTAATGTAAATTGATTTTTTGTGATTTTATGGCAAAATTTTTTGTCTTTGTTTAAAATGTTTTCCCATTTGTTTTGCAGAGTTGTCTCAACTGTTAGTGATTAGAGATGGAAAAGATCTACTAGAATCTAGAATACAAAATGCCTGTAGTGTAGGAAAAGCTCCTTTGGCCTTTAGAAGAACAGCTCTGACTCTGTTTCCTGAGGGCAAGGTCAGGTGTGTCCTCACCTGCACAGCAGTTGGAGATCTGCTATGTGAAGACTCTAGAGAGAAATGGATTCAGAAAGTCCCCTGGACGGCTGCCAGTGTGAGTCAGCATACTGTGAGAACCCTGGAAACACGAACGGTCTGCTTAGCAGAAATTCTTTCTGAGATTTCACATCCAGACACACCACAGACTCCAACGCATCCACTTCATGAGTGTTTTATTGACAACAGCACTTGCCTGCGGCCCCCTCAGGGGCTGGAAATTGTTCACTCCCAGAAAGTCAAGCCACCCACGTGGAGACAGCACTTATCCCAAGACAAACCTCCACCAGGACTTCAGTATAGGTTGGATAGCAGTAGCTGCCAGGGCAACATGAGATAACAAACGCCCTCATCGCAACTTAGGAGCAAAGCTGAGCTGCTGCAGGGTTCGCTGAGCCAAAGCATCAGGTGACATGACATCCGTGGGAGCATCGGGGAATGCAGAGCTGCCAGCCTGTTGCTAGAAGGATTGTAGTTAGGATTTCTGCATAAGAGAAGATGTCAAATGGAGAGCCTCAAGCTGTGGCTGACTGACATACATGCATTTTTTGGGGGGAGGACCATCAATCTTATTGGCCATATCCCCCACTTACTTTTTTCGTCTTTGGAGAGGAAAGGCAATGAAATATAACATAAATCTCTCATACCTAAAAAAAGTTTGTCCTTTGAATATCAGTAACCTAATTTAAAAAGTGTGAGTAGGAAGTGTGAGTAGGACTTGTGTCTCTCTCTCTCTCTCTCTCTCTCTCTCTCTCTCTCTCACACACACACACACACACACACACACACACACACATATTACAGTGCTTACTCCCTGGACACATGGCTATGGAGCCAAGAATGTCTGTAGTTAGGAACAATCATAAAACTCCACCCAGGGGGAATTGGACCATGGAGTTAGGTTTGAACTAAGCGTGGAAGAAAGAACAAACTTCCCTTTCTAATCTTTCAACTTCCTATCAATGTGTGCTGCAAGAGCGAAGCAATAGGCTTTCTCTATGAAACTGATCAGAGATACATAATGTGTCACTAATAAGAGATCTTCCCCAGAACATATATACACGAAAGGAGACAAGCCTAAGGTATAGCTCTCTAAAAATGGAGTTGGAAGCATCAGAGAGCACATCTAATACCCTACAAATACCAAGTCACAGAAAGTGAAATAGCTCTCTACCTAGCTAGACATTGAAGGCTAAACTGCCCTGGTCAGAATACCATAGAAGAAAATGTGATCCACAGTGGGTAAAGATAAAATCAGTTTACTTAACATGTAACTAGCACAAACTACTGGCTTGTAAGTGCTCTCCATATACTCGTTTTATTCTCATAACCCAAAAAGCTAGATAATAACATTCGCTCCTTTATCCAGGTAGGGAAAAAGAGGCCCCAAAAAGCCAAGTAGCCCACCCACGTTCATGCGGCTAATCAGTTCAAAGTTTCAAGGAGACAAGTAAGTAGCACTGATTAGACCTCCTAATTCATGCTATCTTTTAGTTAAAATTTTAATTTTAATTATTATGGGTGCATAGTAGTTGCACATATTTATGGGGTACATGTGACACTTTGATACAGGCATACAATGTGTAATAATCAAATCATGGTAATTGGGGTATTCATCAACTCAAGCATGTATCATCTCTTTATGTTAGGTATCCATGACATCTTTATGGAAAATATTTCTCTAGATTATTATAAGTAAGTGATCGATTATTAGAGGAGATCTGGGAATAGGATAATGAGTGAGTGATCTGCCCTAACTCATGCTTATACATTCAACCCGCGGTTATTTTGGCCATTTACCTGCTCTGAATTATACAAAGCAACTTTTCATCCCTGGCCAGTGTTAGTAGATTTTACCTTCCATTCTGCTATGTCACGTTTAGGGAATCCAAATTCATTTTTCAATTTGTTCAGGCAAGCAAACTAGAGGAAATGTAGAGAAACAGCCCAGGGAGCTTATGCAAAACTGGGCAGCATGGGAGGACAGGCAATTTGGTACACTAGAAAGAGCAATGGCCTTGGAGCCAGATGGATCCAGATCCTAGCTCATTTTGAGATTTTACATGATTTATTTAACCTCCCTAAGACTCAGTTTTCTCACCTATAAAATAGCAATAGTCATCTTGCTGGGCTGTTGCAAGGTTTGAGATAATATATTCATATTCAGCGCACAAGTGTGATGAAACAGAGGTGTTTGAAGTCATACTGCTAGTAAGAGGCAGAGCCAGAATTTGTAGGATGTAGACCTATGCCTGCGTGCAGTTAAAGCCCATGGTTGCTCTGCTCTTCTGCAGTGCTACCAAGGACTCTGGACTTCAGGAGCATGAGCCACAACTGCACTCCATGTGACCAGAGTCAAACTTCCCACCCAGAGGGCCCCTGTGTTATTCCCTGGCACGTGGTCATTCTCCTGAAGGGTAAGAGATGGAGGCACCTCACCCATCACCCTCTTCTCTCTTACTATGGCTCTCCAGAGCAAGCGGCTTCACCTCAGAAGGGTGAATCTTCCCTGGCACATATTTTTCTTATGGATTGGGGCTTCACCCTGCTAAACTAAGCAGAACTTTATTTTATTTATTTATTTATTTATTTATTTATTTATTTATTTATTTTTGAGACGGAGTTTCGCTCTTGTTACCCAGGCTGGAGTGCAATGGCGCAATCTCGGCTCACCGCAACCTCCGCCTCCTGGGTTCAGGCAATTCTCCTGCCTCAACCTCCTGAGTAGCTGGGATTACAGGCACGCGCCACCATGCTCAGCTAATGTTTTGTATTTTTAGTAGAGACGGGGTTTCACCATGTTGACCAGGATGGTCTCGATCTCTTGACCTCGTGATCCACCCACCTCAGCCTCCCAAAGTGCTGGGATTACAGGCTTGAGCCACCGCGCGCGGCCCAGAACTTAATTTTAAATGAAAAGGGAGAGGGAAATCATATGTGAATTTGTTTTAAAAATTGAGCAATTGAATCCATTTAGAGTAGCTTTAAAGGAGGTCAGGGCTCCAGCTTCCATTCCCATATAAGCCTTGAACAGAAAAACCACTCATGCCATAGGTTGTGCCAGAACCCATGTGATGGCCGTTTTTATTTTTATTTTATATATATATATATATGTATGTATGTATATATATGTGTGTATATATATATATACATATATATGTATGTATATACTAGAGAGAGAGAGAGAGAGAGAGAGAGACGGAGTCTTGCTCTGTCACTAGGCTGGAGTGCAGTGGCGCAATCTCGGCTCACTGCAACCTCCGCCTCCTGGGTTCAAGCGATTCTTCCGCCTCAGCCTCCCGAGTAGCTGGGACTACAGGCGCGTGCCACCACACCCCACTAATTTTTGTATTTTTAGTAGAGACGGGGTTCCATCATGGCCAGGATGGTCTCCATCTCTTGACCTCATGATCCACCCACCTCGGCCTCCCAAAGTGCTGGGATTACAGGTGTGAGCCACCCTGCCCAGCCTGTTCTAATTCTTCATTCTCCTTTACTCTTCTAAAAATTACAGGTTACCCCACAGACTGCTCTGATGCTCTCTGTGTAGCACAAGCCTGATCTTTGTTCCCACTCCACCGCCAAGTGCATCCTTGGCAAGTTACTTAACTTCACTAAGCCTCAGATTCCTTGTTCTAAGGGTTGCTTTGGGGATCAGTGCCTGGCATTACATCTACTTAACATGGTGCCTGGCATATGGTTAAGTAAGAATTCAGTAAATATTAGACATTAGTAGTAGCAGTAGTATCGAACAACTTCTACTTCCCTGTGTGACCAGCTTGAACTTTATAGCCACTGGTTCTTTGCAAATCCCTCTAGGAAAGCCTACTTTCTGCCAATGTCATGATGGTTATCTCACAGTTAGGGCTCTCAGCAACTAAATTGATATGATTCATGTTTGATGACTTTGATTTCAAGTCCCAAAAGAACCATCTTAGTAAACAGATCTCTGCTAAACTTTCCGAGCCCAGATCTCCTCCTCTGTGAATCAACTTTCAACGATAATTTTAGATCCTGAAGCATTAACAGGCCCTCCCTACATTTGCTGCATACATTTTTTTTTTTTTTTTTTTTTTGAGACGGAGTTTCGCCCTTGTTACCCAGGCTGGAGTGCAATGGCGCGATCTCGGCTCACTGCAACCTCCGCCTCCTGGGCTCAGGCAATTCTCCTGCCTCAGCCTCCTGAGTAGCTGGGATTACAGGCGTGCGCCACCATGCCCAGCTAATTTTTTGCACTTTTAGTAGAGACGGGGTTTCACCATGTTGACCAGGATGGTCTCGATCTCTCGACCTCGTGATCCACCCGCCTCGGCCTCCCAAAGTGCTGGGATTACAGGCTTGAGCCACCGCGCCCGGCTTGCATACATTTGTTAATAAATGATTATTGTTTCCTTAGTTCATTTACCTATATCGTATCATTAAGGCATTCCCTTTTTAAACCAAGTATTTACGACCTGCAGCATTCCAGAAATTGTGCTCTTTAGTTAGATTAAAAATTCCTCAGGGGGAAAAGTCGGCCTCTCATTTCTCTGAGCGTCATAAAAGTCCAGCACAGTTCTTGGCACACTGGTGCGTATCTCACAGTTCTATGCAATTACTGTGACCTTGAAAAATGAATGAATGGAATCTTGGGCGACAGTACATTTTCCATGGGGTAGCTGGATTGGCTACTGAGTGAAGTCTGTTAGGAATCGCCTCGCGAAGTGAAG